ACAGCCCCCAGCCAGGAGGCCTCCTCGACGTCGATGGAGAAGGACAGGGGCGTCTCCTGGGGGGAGAGCAGCTTGGGCAGCATGGGCGACAGCCAACCGAGGGCGATGCCATGGCAGAAGGTTATCAGCGTGGCTAGGAAGAACATTTAGATCATCAGCATACGAGCATATGACATCATCTCTCAAGGGCGAGGGCGAATCAACAGCTCAAGTGGCTCATTTGCATAGGGCACACGCGTGAAATTGAAAATTGAATTTTCACCCGTCGACTTTGTGTCAACGTTTTTCGGGGCCGTTTTCCATGGCTTGCCCAAATCTCATTTAAGCCTGCCCAGTTCTTTGTCCACAACTTGACATGGATTCGCATGGATTCGGTCCCAAAACTTTCCACTCGCCCGTTGAGCCGTAAATCCATCTTATCTTCATAAAACATACCACTCAAAGAGACCAGCAGTTGGCGGCGATACTGCCACTGGAAGATGCCCGATTGGAATATGTTGAGTAGCTGCATCCTGGCGAGAATCCTTTTAACTAACTAAGTTGTCCTATTGTAACTTATAACTTGTACGGTTCGATCCTTAAATCGCGTATATCACAGTTGAAGAGCCTCGTTTGGAGAGCAGGTCCTTAGAGTGCCTTAAAGCTCTTGCGTGAAAACTTTAAACTCTGGTATCCTTTTTCCATGCTCTGTGCTTTAACCTGGACGGAGTAACTCTGGTCCGAAAATGGCTTGTGAAATAGGCGACGATGCCCCATTTATACCGTTTTCGTATCTAAATCTGTGGGTAAACATCTAGTATTTCATCTAAGAAACAGCCAACGATTACGCAGTTTGTGAGTCGGGAGGCAGCTGCAGATTAGCTACGGAATGGGGATCCATCACGCCGCTTGTCTGAGGTGGGCGGTACTCATCACCCAGTACCCGTTGCCGAAAGCTGTTGCTCCGTAATACTCGGCACACATCACTAAATCTTCCGGATAGGCGTCGCGTCATGTCTTCGCTGTCCTCTGTTTATAGACCAAGTTCACGACTTGTTGGCAAACGGAAATAAGTGCGATTAAGTTTCGCTTCGGCTGTGACGTCACCTGGAGTTATGTTCCGTGGATTCTGCAGTGGATTCCCCGACCTACGCGAATCTATTTGCACTCCAAACACCATTTGCGTAGTTCAAATAACAAAACACGCGCGCTTTTAAGGCGTCACTTAATGTATAATAGAGACACACTATTACGTTGGGCAAACACTTTGGGGTGACACTGTTATTAGCTGCAAACACACACGTGGTGACACTTTTATAGGGCACACATAAACAGTGCAAGAAGGTATTTTAGTAACATTTTGCAGAGCCAGCATTAAAATTCACAAATTCAATTTATTTTTTATACATTTTTTCACCTACACAATTTCTACAATTTTCCATAACGATTTCATTTTCCTAGTTTCCTGACCTACTGGAATTTCATGGCCTTTATTAGAATGCACTGAAGTGTATGTACTCAACAAAAGGTTTTTCGAAGGAATTTCCAGGCTTGCTCAGCCCTCAAGCCTGTGAATCAGTTTAGCTCGCCCCAAAGTTACGTGTATGTGTGTAGTTAACTTTATAGAGGAACACCGAGATAAACATGTTTATATTTTTGAGAATAAAGTCCACACATGCATTGCATTTCGTCCAGATAAGAATCGATTGAAACGACTGGCTTCGTTTTTACTGCCCTGATATAATGATGATGATTTAGTATAGACTTTGATTTGTCAACAACTCCCGATTATGACTGATTTCGGCCAGTTGTGTTGGCTTATAAGGGACTTTTTGTATTTTAAATATTATTTTTGGCCGAAAAGGGAGCCATTAAATATATTGGAATAAATAATGGAATGTTCTGGTTCAAAAGAATATTTAATAGCAACGTTCACTTTGGCAGAATGACCCGCACATTTTATGCATATCCAGAGTTTGGGGATCCATTTACTCCCGCATATCTGGCATGACGCATTTTAACAATTTTGGGGTGGCAAACACACAGTCCCGATAAGAGGTCGTAAGAGAAATGGAAGCCTGTCAAGAGTTGTTCTGTGAAATCGTGTGATAAGTGCAAAGAACATTGCAATCAATAAAAGAATCGTGGCTGGGCAGAGAACATCGGGTTCTAGATATAATGTGCTTTGAATAAAGCTTTTTTTGAGGTAGGTGCCTTGATTTCGACTCTGTCTAACCACCTGACATTCTAAGCTCTGCTAAGTTAGCGAAGGCCAGACAAAAAGACGAGGAATACTCATAAATTAAATGCCGTGTGCTTTAATCAATTGATAAGTTCTCATGAGTGTCAGGCGGTGCCAAGTTAAGGCCGGCAAACATACTAAGAATCTCTTGAATATTCCAAAAGATGAAGGAAAAATGTGTAAGCGGCTTAGGTTTTACCACAAAGTCCGAATTTTTCCTGGCAGGATCAGAATTTGACTCTCTTTCCTTTTGCTTGAGAGGCAATGAAATGGTATATAGTATATATACCACCACTTTTTTTTTCTAATCGTTATCGCCCACTCGATTTATTGATAAGTTCAATTTGTTTTCCATTTCACGGCAACTTGAACAATTTGTTTTGGTTTGCCGATTCCGATGGGAAAAGGTACACACAGGCGCAAGTAAAAAAAAACTAAATACCAACTCGCCTGTTGCCGGGGAGTTGCTCATGCGAAAATGATATAATTAGCATTTATGGCTATTTAAAATAAACATATTGTCATCGATATCGGGTGCATAAAAATAATGTAAAACTAATTATGGTTTCTTTTGTTATTTCGGTGCGGACTTTAAATTGATAAGCCGCCAACCAAACAACTTTAAGTGCCCAAATTGGACTTTAAACTAGGGATGAATGTGCGCAATCTGTCGAACTGGTAAAGTCCAGATATATGTGTGTCTATATAGTATAATTTGGAAATTCCCCTTAATTGCCGAAGTACACATATCAGCCATATACCTGAACCAATTAAATTTGGGCTCACCATTTTGCAGTGGTCAATGGTCAGTAATAAGGTTGAGTAAAGTGTTCAAAAATAAATTGGTAAGTGGCTGACGAGTTGGGTCAAGTTGGGAAAGCTTTTATTTAAATAATTAAGATCGAGTCCTTTTAAAACCTGCACTTTATATTTTAATGATGTATTTCGAAGTCAATTCCAGAAAACACATGGCAAAGGTAAACGTAAGACTCTTAAAATTTGTTTGAGCTTCATCGTCCCTGGGACTGTTTGCCATATGCGGCAGCCTTTTAAAGCTTTCAATGGCAACTACTCGTAAAATAATTGATGAGATACAACGACGACCGCCATTATATACAACCATTTAAATGTATTCGTGAGATAGTACAGAAAATAAGGCAGAGAGAAAACAATTTGACAAAAACAAAAAAATCAGAGAGCAAAATAAGGTATGACGTCTAGCAAACATCTGTGTGAATTTGTTATTTATCATAACTGAATTATTTTGGAAAAGGCTTCTATTTATTTTCGTTTTACGGACCTAAGCATGAAAACATGGCATGAACATTATTTGCGAACTTAAGCTGTAGTTTTATTGCGAAGCACCCACTTCATTCCGACCAATGAAAAATTCACAAAACCTCTTTCCTCGAACAGAAAAGCAGAAAACTATTGAAAATGATTTCCGTTTTCCTCGAAAAGAAAAATAGAAAACTAATGAAATCGCTTCCTTTGATGTAGGCAATGGTTACCATCTACAAGCCAATATTATAGAGTTTTGATTACAATTTTCTTCTTGCTTCTGCAGAACCATCATTAAATTCATTTTGTCGCCTCTCTTCAATGTCGAATGTTTTTATAAATCAACATTCCGATTTCCACAGAATATTTTTAAAAGTTAATATTTCGAATTCCACAGAAATTTTCTTTTGATTGCTTTTCGTTGCTCTCGGCTTTAACAAACTGTTTTTTTATGTAGCAGCCCTTTGAGTATCGTTATTTTCAAACATTTTTTACAACATTTTGTCAAAGAACCTCGCGGTTTTGATGAGTTCCTGTGGTTTTTTTAAAAATGTTCGAGAGGCAAAGATTTATATATTTCCATCCATATTAAATTTTAAAGTAACAAATATAAGAGGTTGAAAGTTATGGAATTTTAATAATTAAATAAAGCCAATTGTTGAGTTCGAGGCAATGGCCCTAGAAATTGCGGTAGCTAGGCTCTTTGGCTGCCATTATTTATCAATTTCGGCGCGTGTTTAAGTAGATTAAATGAGGCTACTTAATCATGTGCAGGGCATATATATTGATACCGTATTTGTGTTGTTGTTTCCCCCTTTGTTGACCATGCTCTCAATAATAAATAACATGCTTTTAAGCTGTAATAAAATGGCAAGGGTGAGAGAACCCCACGCCAGGTGTGAGCATGGTAAAACAGTGTGATAATTTTTAGTTCAATAATTAGTGGAGTAACTAAACTGACAGAATATATATATAGTGCTATATGCCATATACGACTCGCAATCACAAATGCTGGGTAAAAATGGCGACACTTTGCTTATCACTTAAAGTGGCCGCTACCGCGCCGAAAAAAAGAAGAAAAAATTGGAAGACGAAAATCGAAAAATAACTGTAGCCCAATCTAATAAAAATTGAAATTCCCCAGCGCCCACATGGATCGCAGGGGTATATATTTTCAGGTCACCCAAAAGGGGGCGTGAGCTTTCGCAATTACCTGGGTGAGAAAACATCGCCCCCCATCTATAGATAGATAGATTGATCGGAGTCAACTGGAATATCAATTGCGCAGTGCGTGCCGCAATTGAAGCGATCATCAATAACGAACGATAAAAATAATGCACCGAACAAGAGAAATTACTAGGGGAGTTCCGAGAAATTCCTTAGGCTTTTAATGTTCACCCCAACCAAAAATGCGCGTTTCCTCGCTATCTTATCAAGAACTTTGGAGGCTCAAGCCCAGAAACTCCATCAATTTGGATATTTTTTGTTTTGAACTCACCATTTGCGGTTCACTCTTCACTCGAGTATCGTTTTCGGATTGTTGACTTTTCAGCTGATGGCTTCGGACGCAAGCATTTCAGCCTTTTGTTTACGTTCAACACTTTTTTTTGGCTTTTTGCTCAGCCCCTCTTCAGTAAACATTCACTAGTCGAATTTGTATTATTTTGTGGGGGGAATAGAAAACACAAATACTCGACTGTTGGGGAGGCAGGGAAGTGGCTATCCAAACACTCGGCACTTATTCGGGATATTTGCAAAATAATTAAATTTCCGTTTGTCCGTTTACACTTTCATTCATATAAACTACACATAAAATTTCCATTTTTTGTTTACTCTTCGCTATTTATTTTTAAACTTGTTGAATTTTCAATAATTATGATTTCCTTGATTTTTGCATATTTCACGGGGCTTTCATGCATATTTTTTACAGGTGCACGTTTCTCATTTCCGTTTCCGTTTTTAATCACTTTATTTGCACATCACTTACACTGAGATATATTTATTTAAAGTGGCCGGTATGAATGGTATTTTCCACATTCTTCCTATTATTTGTTGACTCAGGCATAATTTATTCACAAAAGTAGTTAAAAGCGCCACATAGTTCACTTCTATTTTGAATTGCGCGCGAAAAATTGGTAGAAAGACGAGCGAACGATGTATCAAATTAACCGGTACTTCGGAAAAATCACGTATCCGACGCGGAGTCCGAGACACATTGAAGCAACAAGCGTTGGCGGCAGAATGATAACAATTCCTGACTACCAAGTGTTGCTTCTGCATTCACTGAGAGCTTTTACGCAAAAGCTTCAAAACACGCATTTTTTCTCATATCGAAAGGCACAGTGAGTGCCAGATAAGTGGAATATAAATGTGATTAATTAATGTATTAATTTATTCATATGTTTCTTGAAAATATACATTGATTTTAATTTTAAAAACCAAATGATTTATCTACTGTATTATCCTTTTCTTTGTTTACTATAAGCTGGTCTAATACCCTTGGATATTTTTATGTTGCTTTGTGCTCTTAGGAACTTATCTTTTTTGTTAAATGTTGTTTTTAATATTTTGCAGTATATATTTATATTAAATTTAATTGTTATTAAAATTTTTTTTCTCTCTCTCATTGAATCATTAGGTAAACACTGTCTACTAATCAGCATGTATAGGTTTATTCTATCATAATTTTTAAACAAATATTAAAGTATATAAGTTACATAAGTTAGCATTGCCGATTATCAGTTCAGCAATATTGGTGGAGCCTAGCATATACTATCTGAACCACTGGGCTATATATCAAGTGTGTGATTCGCTTTAAAGCCCCATTCCTAAAACTATATGAAAATCATCTTTGTTATTTTGAATTTTGCCGCCAGCGAACACACCAAAAAAATCAAATATGGCAATGCTGAAAGTGGTGGTGGGTTTAAACAGCTGATTTTGGTGGAATGTTTAACGTCCTAACGCTTTTTTAAATTCTCCAGCTAGGTTGCCAGATAATAAACTAAAAACACGTTTTAATTTAAATTTTAACGAAATTTTACAAGACTAAAATGTACCATAAATCGGATTGTTTCATTGTTTTTGGTGAATAAACTTCATAGTTATAGTAACGTATGATTTATTTTGTATATTTCGGCAGGCAGTTACAAGGTGCGCAGTCGAATAGTCATAAAAAACTGGTTTGACTTGTTCTCTCGCCAGTTCTTTGTTTGACTGCGAAATTGTGATTGCAACTGGGAAGCAGGAAAACAAAGGAGTTGGGATGGAAAACCTCCCCCTTTGGGAGTTGCCCAAAAAGAGCAGCAATAATACAAATGAAAATGAAAACACCCCCGCTGAAGAGAGAAGTCGTAAACAAAAACCATGGAACACGGGTATTGTTTTGGTAGGGGGTTTATGAGAAGACAGCTGATTGTGCGCTCTCTCTTTTTATATCTCTGCCTCTCCCTCTCTCTCTCTACTCACTGGGAGAACTAATCAGCTCGGTTCATATTTTTCAACTTTCCTGAATTCATTTCATTTCGTGCCATGCCAACGGCCGCTAAAGATCGCGCTGCTCTTCGGTTCCCCAAAAGATATAGCCATCTATATAATTACGCGCGGTAATACTCAGCCCAGTAATTGTGTGTGCGGGTGTTCGGCGGGTGTGCGTGTGTGTGTGTGAGCTGCACTCGGCTTATCAGTTGCATTGACACAGTGATAATCGGTCTGAATTCAGCAATCGAACTGAATATTTTTGTGGTTTAGCGGGTTCAGCCTTTGGCCCCTCTTCCTTTGAACCCCTCCCCCCAACCCACACCCCTGTGCGTTGATAAGCCGCAAAAAAGCCTCAGAACTTGATATACTTTTTAGTGAGAACTACCGACTAAACACTTAGTTAGCAGGCCTAGAGCAAAAGCAACGCGGTGCTACCAATCGCGAAAGACGTGGGAATGGCATAGGGCCAATAAGTCGACGGCTAGGCCAACACACATGCACCGAACAAATTATCAGCTGCTTCTGGGAGAATACGAAAAAATAGTACTCGTAAATAGCAAAAGACTTAGAACGATTAAAAGTGCGTCTCAATTGTTCAAAACAAAGGCTGAAGAGAGTGACGTGCTAAATATACGTAAATATACACGATTTGCATCATAAAGAAGAAGCTCGAGTGCATTTAGCAAGCGCTACACAACAAAATCAAAATATAGGGCATATTAGTTTCGCCAAAACTTGGATAAAAAAAAAAAAATTAAAAAAATAAAAAAAAATAATAGTTAAAAAGAAAAACTAAACAAATTCTTCAAAGTTACTACGAAAAAAAAATGTTAATCTATAAAAACTAAATAGTTTTGAGTTATTGAAGTTCAAATTGTATTTTTCATTGAACTGCTGCATCTACTATGAACTGCAGATATGTATGTATGTTCCCTATTTCAAAGAGTTTTTAAAATCGTCTAGTCTTCTGTAAATCATTATAGCTTTCAGGAATACTCATAGGCTGGTCTGTATTTACTGTAGCGCAATAATCTGGTGTCCTCTTACCTCCCCCGCAGCGCTTGTCTCTGTGAACGGAGAGCACATTTGCCTCATTCTCGCTCTACGTGAGGCAATAACAACAAACATTGTTTATGCCAGTGGCGGATTAAGGGGGGTTTCGGAACGCCAGAGAGATTATGAGAATTTGAATAATTTAGGTTCCCTTATGGTGAAACAAATTTTTAAAATAGACGGCATTTCAACCCCCTTGAATATTTCTCTAGAGCCGCCCCTGGTTTAGACTCTCTCGACTTACATGTGCTGCCATGTGTTCGTGCGCTATTCTTGTTTTTGGGGGCATGGTCTGATTAGCAACAGGCTACTGTTCCCACCCGTTCGACTTTTCATTAAATGGGTTGTTGTCTGCCGGTCTCAATGAGCCCCTCCCCCCAGTCGAAACCCCCCTGCCCAACGCCCTTGGGAACAGCTAGAAAGCGAATGAACTCACACAGACAAGGCGAAGAGCGAAATTAAAATTCAAATGAGCAAAAGGCACAATTGTTTGACGCGCCTCAAAATTAACACACAAAAAACAGGCCTACGACGATCGAGCGGAAAGAGCAAATTAAATGGAGAACGCGAGCTAAAGACACAGAGAGATAAAAGTGAAACCGAAAGAGGGTTAAGGTTATACGAAAGTCGAAAGATCAGAAGTTCTGGAAAGTATATAGAAATCACGACATGTCCAGTTGGAGTTTGGCCAGTGCGGTTTCGCCAAATGTGACCGGTGGCGATGTCATCCGACTGAACAACTTGAAGTCCAACTCGGAAACCCATCTGCCAGCCCGGGGATCTGGGGGATCTGGAGGATCTGGGGGACTACCCCGACCCACTACACCGGTGCCCGCCAAGAAATTGACCTCCAAGAGACCGCCTCACCTGACCCTGAATGTTAAGTCCAAATCCCACGATGCTCCGCTGGCCGAAACGGAAAACACCTTGCTTTCGGCCAGTGAGTCCATCTATGGAACTCCAATTGGCGCCACGCCCATTTCGTCACCAGCCAACCAAAGTCAGCGGAGTCAGAAGAGCCAGAATAGTGACGAAAGCCGCCACAGCAGTAGCACTGCCACCAGCGGAGGATCCATTTTCCCCCACGAACAGTACAAAACCATCAAGAGGATCAACATTGGGTTCGAGAACATACGTTACACCACCAAGTTCGGAGTCTTCCAGAGGGGTAAGTTATCCGGGGTGATCTTATTTGGTTGTGAAAGTTTAGGATAAAGATTTTGTGGTTCTATATTAAGTAACCTTAATTAATGTTAAGTAACTTACAATACCCTAAGAACCTTAAGATTTCTGTGACAGCCACAATTTCATTTCATTTTCACTCTTAAAGATATATAGATAGTCTTTTCTTTCAAACAGTCTTGACATTGGAAAATAGATCCCCACGCGCTTAGTGTTTATATATACGGAAAAATATACTTTGTTTGGATTTTAATTTGAAATTAGACAAGCGTCAAATCGAAAGGCAATATTCAAATCGGGGCACGAAGATTAAAAAGATCTTGTTGAAAATGGGGGGATTAGGAAGCTACAATTTCTATGTAAGCAAATCAGAATGATACATTTTTTTATTGAGAAAACTTATCAGGATATTTTTAAGCCACGACGTTGCTGTCTTTGTTTTAGCTCTTTGTGAAGTCAGCACTTCTTTCATATATACAATATATAAAGCTTGGAATCCTACTTGACATCTGAAGAGCATTCCCCCATGGGTCATAAAATTGCTTGGTTTCCCGCAGTCACGCATTGGTGGCAATTATAATTAAGGGTTGGCTTTGTGATATATGTATAATGTACATACTAGCGTGGTTATGTCCAGTAAACCCAATTAAAATTAACCAGTTCACTGGCACTTCAATGGATATTTAAAATGAATTGCCAAAAATGAGTTCTTAATGCACTAGCCATCAAAATAAATATAGTGCTACAATTATTTGAATCATCAGCACTAAAAGTGGTGATATCTGAAATAGTCTCGGTTCATCAATCTCCAGATAAAGCCATTGAAAATGCTTTTACTTAAGTTTCATGCCACATTTAGATTAGGACACTTGGCTACAATCAGCTTCTTGACACACTCCTCACGTCTAAGATTTAAATATGGGGCAAAGTCCACTTTTCAGGAAAGCAAATGGCAATAAGAAAGAAATGATTTCCCTTTATTGGACATATGTATGTATAATGAACATGTGTAACGGGCAGAGACACTTTCAATTCACTATATTGACAAGCTGCTGATTGAGCGAATCATTGGGTTCAAAGAGCCTTTTAAATTCAATTTAACAGATCTTGGGCACACGCAGAAATAAGAGAAGTAAATAAAGGGTAGTTGCATGGTCAGGGCTAAATGTGGAGGTCATTGGTTTTTATCTTAATATAGCTCACGGACCTATTTGCATACCGTCGAGTGTGGCGGCCTTACTATACTTTTTGTTTACAATTTGCCGATCCCAGAGTTACAATGCCGATAAGAGCATGCATAGGAAATACGCAATCGCAGTTACTTGATACTTCTCATGAACTACATATTGCTTATCGTGGATACAAGAAGGGACATGACTCACTCTAGTGCACCGCCGATAGATAGCCATTGCCAAAAGATATTCCAGTGAGCAGGTGCTTAATAGAAGTATCCCAGGTGACTCACGACTCATGACTCATTTAAGTATCTGATTAGGATCCTGATGGCAATTATGACACGTGCCACTCGCTGATTATATGCACGATAAATCATCGACAAACATTATGGTCTGTGATTACCCGGAATTCGTGTTTGGATAGCCATTGTTAAGTGCTAGGTACAAGACCAATTGAGGTGGTAAAAATGTTCTACCCTACTTAAATGCAATCCACCTTAAAGATCCTTGAGTTGCTATACTCGATCAAGGCCACTTGTACTTCTTTGAAAGCAAAGCATAACATAACCCGAATTGGCTACAATGTTACTCGTGTTTCATATCTACAAACTGCCTTTATCGCCTTACCAACCATTGCACTATGGGGCATTTGACCACTTTAGTTGGCCAAAACCCATTTTTTAAAAGTCGTTAAAACAAAAAATGTTGTTTGAGGATGTGTTAACAAAAGACCTTTTAACAATGTTACGTTTACAGAAATCCGATAGAGGTCGCCTCTGTTAAGGTAGGAGCTGTTAAATCAGCTGTTTGATATGCAATTATCGAGCTGTTGTATTTCGACTTTTTGCTTGCAGTTTTAAAGAGCTTTAAATTTGAGTTTTTAAGCAATCTAAGTAAACTTTTTGGATTGGATTTAAAGGATTATGCTATGTACTAAGTAATTGTGTGGTTGGACGACAAAAATTAGACGGTTTTTTCTTACAAATGAGTGTTAAAGGGAGTGGTCTAACAAGTACATTTTTGTAAGTAAACTAATTTTCAAATGGAGCAACAAAGTGAGTCCAGCGGAGTCCACTTCTGGAACCTATTGGGATTTGTAGATTATTTAATTGTTGTTAAAATGTATATGGTCAGAATCGCCACTTATTGCCACTTTTTCTGTAATTTAATTTTTTAGACCATAACCTCAAATTTCACAAACTCCTATCGTTTGCACTGGTGGCTAAGGAAGTAAGGACTTTCGTGACTTTAAATTATTATCAAAATATAGTAGAAATACTTAGCTTTGTAATTGACTAACTTAAGTGGACTTTAGCGGCTTTAAAACGAAAGTTCCGCTACAACTTGAACAAAAAGTCGTACAAATGTAAAGTAAATTCTTTCCTTTGCCCCTTTTTTTGAGAACTTAAGGATATAGTCGTCCGATTTGTACAAAACTGGTAATATTGTTTTAAAAACTTACATAATTGCTATTTCTAAAGTTATGTGCATTTATCTCCAAAAACAGGAAAGTTCATTTGATCGTTTCTATGGCAGCTATATGATATAGTTTTCCGATCCGGATGATTATCATATATAATATGCGGGGGGATAAGAAATGGCGACTGGTAAAGTTTCAAGTCAATATCTTTTGAAATGACCGAGTTATTAATTTCGGCCAACAAAAGTGGTCAAATGCCCCATAGTGCATTGATAATAACAAGAACAAATGTTTAATACATACATGAATGGTTCACCATTAATGTATTTTAGATTATTGAAATTCGGAAGCCAGTAAAGGCAGACAGAAATTTGTATATCGTACATATAAGTAAGGTAATGACTTTGATTACGACACATGTCGGACATGTGATAAATATTGTTGTTATTATAGGAATAAAATAATGCACGATAGATGATGCCCCCGTTAGATAGGAGTATTAGAATAGAATACAAAAGGGATACGAAAACATGGTAAAGCTGATTTTGTTCTTTATAAGAAAGGCGCAAGCGTTTTAATTGATGTCACTTAAATGCCATTAAAGGAAATATCTTTTCTTTGTTTTCTTGAATTTTCCGTTGCTCTTCGCGTGTCATTTTTGTCGCACTTTTCAAATGAATATTTTTAATTTTCCCCTTTAAAGCGTTTCAGTCTATTAAATATTTTTACAAAGAGCCCGACTTTGAAACAAACTTTTGAGATGAGTCAGGTAATTTAAGAGCGCGGGCTTTCAATTCTCTATTAAGATATTAGCACGCTCTTGATGTAATTGTTGGGGGCAGTTTCCGGTACGACTTAATATAAACTTTTTCAAATGACCAGAGATTTCTGTCGACTTGTGCGTGCTTAAAATATTTGAGGATCTCTTAAGTGATAGGTACTTTCGTTTTTTTCTCGTACACTGCATATATTTCTTTATTTTTATTGGTAAACAATTTTTAGAAATTTGTGATTTAAAATAAAACTTAATTGCTTCACATCATTTCCAATAAATTCACAAACATTTTTACCCCAGTAAATATCAAAAACACGGAGATAAGGCTTGTGCACTCACAAAATGGTATTTAATTACTATCGCAATTACCAATCAATTAGATAAGGAAATCGTTTCAATAACTTTTCTTATGAGTGACCTTTTTTCAATTTAAAATATTTTAATAGTTTATTTGGGGTGTACGTTTTGGAGGTGCCCCGAAGCAGGTGTTCAATGGGTGGTTACTCATAATCCCCCCTTTTCGAAAATGCACTTCCAAGTACAAGGCCATTGCAAAACATTGATGATAAGAGGTGACCAACTCCGGCGCAGCCATGGGAATGCAATAAAAAATCGCTCGTTGTACACCTGTTGGCCCGGCGATGGCTCTAGTTTAACATCTGGCCCGCGGGCATAAAAAAAGACGTAAAGCCGTTTTAACGACAATTTTTGGTCATAGAACTCGGATGCGATAAGATTCGACGACGACGGAGTGATTGATAAGTGGGCGAGCAGACCCCTGAAATCTAAATTGGCCAGTAGCCATGGCTAATCGACAGATTAACTGGGCCCAGGCGACATTCACAAGGGGCGGCAACAATGTAGTTGGCCCAGGAACCCCACAAAAGCCGATCGATCGAGTGGTATAGTGAACTTAACGTTTCTTATGGCACTATCATCCACCGACTGGGGAGACCAGAAAGCGTGCAAAATGAGATTAGACAGCATTGAACGACAGTAATCGCGGGAAATGGGATTTGCTTATCAGTGGGGATGTGCGGGTTTACTAAATGTGAAAATGTGGGACACCCTACAATTAAAACTTGTGGGGTAAGCAAATAAAAAATTTCAAATGGGGTTTCTGTTACAATTCATTAAACTCATTCATGATTAATTGATAATATCAATAATTGATATTATCAAATATAATATAATATAATAATAATATCAAATTGATATTAATATCAAAGAAAATATCAATATAATATCAGAAAATAGTATTTTCAAAATACCATATAAGGTAAATAATAAACTAATCTTGAAATTCAAGTAACGTCATCCTTACCATGATTTAAAGCACTTAGTACGTAATCAAATTAAGTTGAATTTCTTGAGAAGTGAAGTCTGTCACTGATTAAATAACTTTATGGCATCGGCTTACTAATCAGTTATAAATCCCACCAATAAATGTAGTGGTACTTCTTGAGATTATAATGTTAGTTGGCACTGTTTTGTAGTTCTAAAGACTTTAATTTCGATTTAATTTTCAACGTAATTTATGAAATATTTTATTATTCCTTACAGAAACCAAAGATGTGCTAATGGGGCTGACAGGTTACTTCAAGTCGGGAGAGCTAAGTGCCGTGGTGGGACCCTCGGGAGCTGGAAAGAGCACTCTGCTAAATATCCTGTCAGGATATACGTAAGATAACCCGTTACTCCTAACTTCTATCCATCTTATTATTTTATTTATTTTAACTATTTTATTTCAGAATACATGGCTATACGGGTGATTTTCACGTCAACGGCAATCGGCGGGACTTGAAGGCCTTCAAGCCGAATGTGGCGTTTATTCGCCAGGATACCAGTCTGCAGGCCTTCCTCTCCGTCAAGGAGGCGATGCACTTTGCGGCCAACTTAAAGATCGGCACCCACATGACGCTAAGCGAGAAGAGGGAGCGGGTGAAGAGCATCCTGGAGGCTATTGGGATGTACGAGAATCGGCACACTAGGACGGGCCAGCTGAGCGGAGGTCAGAAGAAGCGTCTGGCCATCGCCCTGGAACTGGTGAACAACCCGCCGGTGCTGATCCTGGATGAACCAACCACGTAGGGTTTAATATGAGAATCAAGGTTTTCAAAACTAATTGGAAATCTTTAATTTTTTAGGGGCCTGGATAGCTCCACCTCCAGTCAGTTGATTAATCTGCTCAAGAAGCTCGCCCTCGAGGGAAGGACAGTGATCTGCACAATCCACCAGCCCAGCGCCTTGACCTATGCCATGTTCGATCATCTGTATGCCATCGGCGAAGGGCGGTGCATTTACGCAGGCGGAGCCCAAAACCTACTGCCCTTCCTCGCAGCCCTCAATCTAAACTGCCCGGAGTCCTACAATCCAGCGGATTACTGTAGGTTTAACTCTTCTATAAGAAAGTAACTTTTTAATAATTCTTTAACTTACAGTAATGGAAATAGCCACCCATGACTATGACACGCCGGATGACAACCAGCTGGAGAAGCTGGTGGCCCTGATGGACAATGGTCGCAACGAGGACTACAGACAGAGCAAGACTGCCCGAGTGGCCCAATTGGCGGCCATGAAGAAAGTTGGTAAGAACAAAGGGTTTGCAACTAAAATTAAAGGAAATAAATTAATGGAATTTCTGATCTTTTCAGACCAACTAATGGCGGCGGGATTAATCACACCCGTGACAGCTCCGGTGATGTCCACTTCCGTGCCGGCGCACTTCCTGCAGAGCAGCACGTTCAAGCCACTGACACCCATCAATGAGCTGTCCTCGCGGGTGTGGGACAGTCAAACGACGGGAATCGAAGCCAAGTCCGCCGGCAGCTGCTGTAAGCCAAAGAAGAACAAGAAACCCAAGCGAACCTTGGAACTAGATCCATCGCATCTGTGTAAAAGGCAGAATATCTACGCCACTCCGTTCTACCGCCAGCTGGGCATCCTGCTGGTGAGAACCTTCCTGCTGATTTGGCGGGACAGCTCACTGACCACAATGCGGTTTGCCATACACCTGATCACGGGTCTTCTAATCGGAACCCTTTACTTTGGGATCGGCAACGATGCCGCCGAGGCGACGAACATCTTCAGATACCTCTTCTACACCATCATGTTCATCATGTACTGTGCGTTCTCGGGGATATTGGTGAAGTGTGAGTAGATAATATAATAGTGATTATATTTATTACTTATATGATATGATATTTAGTTCCCCTGGAGTTCCCCATTGTGTCGAGGGAGCACTTCAATCGCTGGTACTCTCTGCGCGCCTATTACGTGGCCATCACCCTGGCCGACCTGCCCATCCAGATCATCTGCAGTGCTTTGTTTATAGTGCCCACCTATCTGATGACCCAGCAGCCGCTGGAGTGGTGGCGGTTCGGCATGTTCTTCCTGATTGTGTTCGTCACGGCTTTGGTGTCGCAGAGCATTGGATTGGCGGTTGGAGCGGCCCTGAGCCTCAAGTTGGGCTCCATTCTGGGACCCTTCTTCATCTGCCCGTTCCTGCAGTTCAGCGGCTTCTTCCTCATGGAGAAGGATTGTCCGAGCCTCCTGCGCTGGATGTTCGATATATCGTTCCTCAACTACAGCCTGGACGGAGCCATGCTGGCCATTTTTGGATATGATCGGGAGAAATTGGTCTGCGAGGCCATGTACTGCCACTATAGATTGCCCCGCTTCATACTTAAAGAACTGGACTTTGAGGATGCCAGCTACACGCATGCGCTGATCTTTCTGCTCGGCATTCTGGTCTTCCTGCGCATCCTGGCCTTCTACATCATGTCCTTCCGCCTCAGATTGTTCAGATGAGGCACTCGGCTACCGAGGAAACCTGCCACATTCCGCCGACAGTTAAATGTTTTAATTTTATACCTGTGGTTTCTTCTTAAGCATTTATTCGAGAGAAACTTATGTGCCAAAGATTGAGAAAAGCCTGTAGAGCGTAAGGAAATCGTGATATATATCTGAAACAAAGGATCATAGAGCCCTCACACACACACACACACTAGCCTTGACAAACATACAAACATACACACACGGCGGTTACCGAGATCAATAATTGTAAATAGGACATTTTTATAGCATAGCATATAAACAAATGTATTTATACCCGTTACTCGTAGAGTAAAAGGGTATACTAGATTCGTGCAAAAGTATGTAACAGCTAGAAGGAAGCGTTTCCGACCCCATAAAGTATATATATTCTTGATCAGGGTCACTAGCCAAATCGATCTAGCCATGTCCGTCTGTCCGTCTGTCCGTCTGTCTGTCTGTCCGTCTGTCCGTCTGTATGAACGCTGAGATCTCAGAAACTACAAAAGCTAGAAGGTTGAGATTTCCCCCACATATTCTTTGGCTTCCTACGCAGCGCAAGTTTATTTTAGCCGAGCGCCACGCCCCCTCTAACGCCCACAATCGCCCACTAACGATTTTAAAATGGGTCCTGCGCCCACATCTTTAAAGATTTCCGAAAAGTATAAATGCAATTTTGTTGTGTAGAAGAAATGTAGAAGACTTTTTTCAAATCGGACCATTCATTAAAAAGTTATACGCAATCAAAAATTATATATCTATCTCCCTCGCACTCCCTTTAGCTGAGTTACGATTATTAGTCGGGACACCAACCCGAGTGCAGCGTTCGCACTCCCTTTAGCTGAGTGACGGGTATTAGATAGTCGGGACAACAACCCGACTATAGCGTTCTCTCTTGTTTTGTATTGTATTAACGAACCATTTATTGACTAGTTGTAACACTAGCCTGATTTTCAGGCTTCGGCTGCGAGTATGACTTTGAAAATGTTATTAAAAATATTTTCCATAAAACTGATTTTTAAAATTTTTGTATTTATACTGGGTTAAGCCTAGTACTCACTTCAATCAAAAAGGCAACGAAACGAAAATTTCTATACAAAAATGACAGGCAAAATATTTTGTCATCAAAATTTTGTATGGAGATTTTCATTTCGTTGGCTTTTCGATTGAAGTGAGTACTAGGCCTAAGACTACATTTCAATTTTGTTCGGTGTAATCTGTCACAACTGTCTGACTTTAAATTCAATGAAATTTGAATAATTTCCCATAAAGCTGTCAAGTATTTAATTGCTTTTGCTCACGGAGTTTAAAGTTTTTAAGTAAAAAGTCAATGTCAAGCACTGACATTGAACATTTCAATGAAAAATTTGTTCGCAAATTAAATTATTTATTTTAAATTGTTTTAATATTAATTTAAATTTCTATATCTAGCTCAGAAATATGCTACACTTTTGGATCAAACTTGACTGCAACTTAAGTGCAGTTCAAACTTGTTGCCAGATGAATTACGATTAATAGCAGTTGCCGGCTTTCAACTTTCGAGCAATTGAAATCAGTCGCGTTTTGAATATCAACAGAAATTGGTCGCCAACTGGGGATCGCTATATCTCTCCGACAGTCGGTTAATGTGATCGCGACGCGAAATCTTAATTGACGGGAGTCGAACAGAATAAAAATAAATACAAAGTGGCGGTTAAAAGTGATAAAAAATCAATTCATGACAATAACAAAACACATTATAAAATGCAAACTGGGAATTATTGATTATTGGCTTGCAAACCCGTTATTATTATTATTCAAGAAAATGACTCGTGTAAATTAGAAAATTATAATTATTTGCATTCTGTGACTGAGCTGCAATAGCAATAATTCCGGGTAAACTAAAATTACGATAAGCGCCAGCTGTTCGCCATCTGAAATTAACAAAGGCAATTATAGAGTCTAACTTCTATTATATTACGCAGTTTGAGCTGCCCACATAAGCAATGTAAATGGGTGTGTATTATCAGCGGTCATTGTTTCTGTATCAATTACCCAGTGCCGTCGGCCAATTGTTAATTTCACTCTCTAAAGAAGGTCACTCGTAGGTGCAGAAATAGCTGCTGACTTTTAGGCGGAGGTGGAAAAAAGTTGTTAATTTTGTGCCTTAAAAAATATATTATAAAACTTAATTTTAAATATATAAAACAGTTTTTTAACTAATTGCTATGATTTTTTGGAATTATAATAGGAATTTTCTAAGTGCTAAGAATAAACTTTTTACAGTTCCTATCGCTAAACCAGCCTACCAGTAATCTATTCGCCTGACCTCGGACAAGATCCCATCAGTAAAAGTACAAAGTGGGTGGAACTGCAGGGAATTGGAGAGCCCATTAATCGAGCCCATGCAAGTCGCTGTCCAACACGTTGGGTTGGACGACCTTGATCCAATCCACCCAGCGATAAGATTATCCGCGATCCTCCGAAACGGTCTTTCGAAAGATAAGTTAAAGCTCCGAGACTGTTTCTGCATTTATTAAGAATCGCGCATTCGTCAGTAAAGTTCGCTGGTTTGTTGACCGGCTTAATGTTCACTTCCCCGCATAAACAAAAAATCAAATAAAAACAACGCGGCGCACGGGTATCTGGTTCATAAATAACAATCAGCCGCCGTTCGATGGCCGATAACGCAGTACAAATTCAGGCAAATGGCCTGGCACACAAGCAAAAGGCCCTGGAGCTGCATTTCAGCCAAGTTAGCTACAGTTTAAGGGGAGCTAAAAAGGATTCTAGTCCCATTCTTAACGAGACATGCGGCGTCTTCAAATCGGGACGACTGACCGCCATTCTGGGTCCCTCGGGAGCCGGAAAGTCCACATTGCTCAATGCTCTGGCCGGTTTCAAGTGAGTATTTACTTTTCCCTATGATTTTTATAAAAAAATAATTAAAAATGTAGGGATCTAAATCTAGTCAAACTTCATCTTTAATAATTAATATTTTCAATAATACTAATTCTCCCATTGACAGACTCCAAGGAGTTACGGGTCAGTTCCTCTTAAATGGTCGCCCAAGGGATATGATATCCTTTCGCAAAATGTCCGCCTATATAGCTCAGGATTTTGTGATGCTGAATTTACTGAGTGTCGAGGAGACATTGCGAGTTTCTGCTGACCTCAAGATGCCCAGCTCAACAATTCCCGAGGAGAAACAGAAAATTGTAGGTGCTTAAGATACCATAAAAAATCATGAAAGCTAATGCTTAAAATTTCCAGATAGACGACATTATCGACATACTGCAGCTGCAATCCTGTCGCAGGACCCTGGTGAAGAATCTATCCGGCGGCGAGCACAAGCGCCTGTCCATTGGCATTGAGCTGGTCACGAATCCGCCCATTATGTTCTTCGATGAGCCCACTAGCGGTCTGGATTGTGTGGCCAGTTACCAGGTGATTTGCCATCTGCAGCGTCTGGCCCACGATGGCCGGATAGTGGTCTGTGTGGTCCATCAGCCGGGATCGCGACTCTTTCAGCTGTTCGACGACGTCCTGGTTTTGGCCCACGGCGAGGTTCTCTACGCCGGCGAGCAGCGGGAAATGCTGGGCACCTTTGCTGCCTCCGGTCACGTCTGTCCACAGTACTACAATCCAGCGGATTTTGGTTAGTCTATAACAGGGGTGATCAAAATTGCAACGGCAGATTGGTTTGACACAAAGAAGAATCGACGTGTGCCCAATGCAAGATACGCGTGTGACCGCAGGTCATAAAAAATTTTGTAGTCTAGGTTTTAATGCGATTTTTAAATATTTTTCAGCCCTGGAAGTGTGCAGCCAATCCTCCACCGCAGAGCGCTGTGAATCGCTCATCACGCAGAACAAGACGAGGCACTGTAATCCCAGCAACGTGGTGAAGCTCCAGGTGGACGAGGAGAGTAAGTGATGATGCTCGGCTTGATTGTCAGGATGGTTTATCTCATGCAGACCTATTTTTCATACTCCTGCACTTATTTCCTCATTGCACTTTCCTCTGCTCTATCTGTCGCTTTTCTCTCTGCCTGCTCTTTAATTTTATTCCAGCAGCGCTGATCGATGTCCCCAAGGACAACTTGGACCTGGCCCATTTGCGTGGCAAGGAGCAGGTGGGCTTCTGGTTTCAGCTGGGCGTCCTGCTTCGCCGGCATTTGCGCACAATGTCCAGGGATATGGTGGGTTTTCTTTGAGTTATTTTCTCTGAGTTATTCTAGCTATAATCTCTGTTCTCTAGGTTGCTGTCCAAATGCGCCTGGTGATGCACGTGGTGGTGGCCCTGCTCCTGGGCGTGGTTTACTGGCAGATCGGCGGCGATGCCGGGAAAATAGTCTCCAATGTGTCCTGCCTGTTCTTCGTCATCCTGTTCGTGTTCGCCGGCAATGCGATGCCCTCGATCCTGCTGTGCATGCAGGACTCGGCGGTGTTCATCCGGGAATACTACAATGGCTGGTACTCCCTGGGAGCCTACTATCTGTCCAAGGTCCTGGCCGATCTGCCCCTGCAGCTGAGCTGCCCCACGATGTTCATCAGCATCGGGTACTTTATGACGGGTCAGCCGCCGGAATGGCATCGATTTGCCATGTGCTGGGCAATTTGTGTGATGACCGCCTTCATTGGCCACTTTATCGGTGTGATTGCGGGATCTTTGTTTACCATGCAGCTGGCTATTTTTCTGGTTCCCAGTGCCACGATTCCGTTCCTCCTGTTCTCCGGTTTCTTCATCCGGCTGAACGAGCTCTCCTGGTTCCTGCGACCCATCTGCGATGTGTCCTTCTTCAGGTACATCTTCGAGGGCCTGATGAGGGCCATCTACGGTTACGATCGCGGCGAACTGGAGTGCCATGCGGCCATGAACTTCTGCTACTACCGGACGGCCGATCAGTTCCTCAAGGACTTCGAGATGCAGGGCGATTACTTCGGCTGGGATATGGCTGTCCTGGGGATGTTTGTGCTGCTCCTGCTATTTGCCTTTTTCGTGACCCTCAGCACGGTCATTCGAAGGGCTCTGAGGTGATACGATTATGTAGATAACTGGGTTAAAATGTGATTAAATTTAAATAAACTTTTTGGGGAGTTTATAAATTAATTAAATTAATGTCTTATTATTTTTCTTCATTACTTAAGAATTTACAATTTTTCTTCATTTATCTACATGTATCTACTGGTTTTAACCGGCATTTTACATCGATTCCCTACACCTAGTTAAGTCACAAACCAATGGACATTCTCCAAAGCACGTTGTAAATAAAATGCATTTAGACTCTGGACTCTAGATTCTAGATTTCCAACTCACCCACACACTCGGGTAATAAGTGAAAGGAGATGTGGTATTCAAAAAGAATTTATCCTATCAGTTTTTAAACTATTTAAACCATTAAAACGCCCCCCAACTATCTCAGGTGAAAATTATGCCACACATCACATACGAGGCTCAGAATGTGATGAAACGAACCGATCGATGTCTGTGCTCTTACAAACTAATCCCAACCCCTGAGTGAAAATTGATAGGAAGGTGGTATTCCTTGAGCTCCGGTTGCATTGTGTAAAGTTAATCGAAATTGTCGGCGATATCAGGAACGGTGCAGGCTGCACTTTAGAATCGTTTCCTTTGTCCTGTTATAAGGTTGACTGGTTCAAAAGGGAGCTAAGACGAAGACAATAACCAAATTAATTAGTATCATCTAAAGCCTCCGCTCTGGCTTAGGATTTAGGAACGTAGTTCAGTTTGTTTTATTTACTTATTTTAAGGTGATGTAGTTTAAGCAAACTACTTATACGATGAAAGGGTTTCCATGGGTTTCTGCCAAAGTTGAACTTCATTCAAGTTCAAATTGTTTGGATGATGTCTTTTTTTTAATTTAAAAACTTGTTATTTATTTAGTTACTTTTATTTTATTTATTATAAACTGGTGTACTTAACTAATTTGTCTACAGCGAAATGAAACGTCTTTATGCCGGAAGGTTTCGAGAAATATAGGCATTTAAGTTCCACGGATCCCATTTTGAGTGACAGGTGAAAACAATTTGGTAATCAAAGTATTGTAAAGAAAGATACCGTTCAAAAATCATTGATTAGGGGAGTGTAGGGTAATTTGACGAGTAGGGTAATGTGACGAACTCGTCGAATCTCATATATGACGTCACGACAAAAATTCCAAATAAATGTAGTCGTCTCCCCTTATCGTGTCGACAATGTATTTACAGTAATATTAATAAGAAGTCCCGTAATTTGTTCGTGAGGTAATTTTCGCTAAAAATGTGGTGCGCAAACTAGCAAACCCATTCAATTTACTTGTGTTTCAGCAGTGCCAGAGCAAAGATGAGTGGAAAATAAAATCAGGCAAATATATGCACGTATACATGAGATCTTTATCAACAGTTTTTGGTACCTCGCGTTTTTTTCTTTTGCGCCGTTTGAGAGTGACACCGTTTTTGCTCCAAGTCTACCTTGTAGGGTATCGTGACGAACTTTTTGTAGGGTATTGTGACGAACTTTTTTTATTCAAGAATTTTAACTGTTATCGTTGATTATTTGTAAAAAAAATATAATAATAACAGATAACATTTACTGCTGGAGTTTTATTGTTGTTTTTAATAGTGACGTCAGTTTAATTTAATTTAAAACAAAAATTTGCACTTTGACCATTTTTTTTTTGTAAGTTTGGGTATTATCTTATTACTTTTTTCTTTTCCGTATCGAAAATAACCTTTCCGTAAATAATATATAAAAAAATGTATTTTTTTTATTTGTAAAAAGGATGGTTTACACCAAACGCTGTGGGATTTGGCTACGTTGAAATTTCGAATCCAAATTTTTTTAGATATATGCTCAGTAAATGTAAGCAACTTTCTGCTTTTACACTTTTAAAAAATATTGATTTTTGGAGAAGTTACATTAAAGAACAAATCGTTCGTCACATTACCCTACAACTTTTGAAAGTGCAAAAAAAGTAGGGTTCACGCCAAACGCTGTGGGATTTAGCTGCATTGGAATTTCGAAATTCGAATTTTACAGGGATATGCTCAGTAGATGTAAGCAACTTTCTGCGTTTACACTTTTGAAAAATATTGATTTTTACAAAAGTTACATTCGAAAAACGAATCGTTCGTCACCTTACCCTACACTCCCCTACTCAATAAATGTCTGCTGATAAGATTACATGCAAAATTCCTTATTTAAATCCTATTCTAATTTTGCATTGAGAGATACACTCTTTAATCTCTTTGAAGATGCTTCCGACCGCCGGCAGACATTTTTTCTGGCACAGACATAATTCAAGATTCAAGCCTTGAAAGCGACGTTACTTGCAGCTAAAAACTTATACAGTCCCCCACACAAACGTGTTCCATATAGACAAGGACATCTTGGAATTTTGGCTGACTTACTGCCGCTGCAGTCTGAAGTCCCGTGGCCTTTCTGCATCTTCGACACTTTTGGGCTTTGCTCCGAAATGCATTTTGCCAAGCTTTTTGTGCCGTCTACGAAACTTCCGTCGGAGGGGCGAAAAGGGAAATTCCATTATTTTACCCGCAGTCATGTTGCAAATAGATAGCAAATTCGTTTAGGAACCTTTCCCCTGAGCCTTTGGACTCGGAAATGTGTGTGTTTGGGTTGTGAGCAAAATCAATTAGCGTCCTTTGGGTTGGCAAAGGACCTGGATTTAATTATATGTAATGAGTGGCCACCTGAAAACCAGATCTTAAGTCCTTAGGCAGGTAAACTATTTGCCTGTTAATTAATCAATTTAAAGTAAACTCAAACTCGTTGAACAGCAAACATATGAAAAAGGCAGACTCAATTTTAAAGTGGATCGGAAATATGTGCAAAATTTAAGCTGCCAATTGAAAAGTTTTTTGTATCTTTTTGAGGTGTGCAAAAGCATATGAAAAGTTTTTGGGCCCAGTAAATCCCCAATGACCCAAATAGAAATGCTGGCAAACTAAAACTTTTTTGGGTGTGAATGGGAGAAATTCAGACACGAATTCAAATTCACAACGTAGGTGGAATTGTGTTAAGTACTTTCGGCCGAAGGCAAAAGTTGCAATAACGAAACAAAAATATTCAATAAATTTCGAATAATGTTTGATTGATGCGTAACAGCAAAAATAAATTATTTATAAACCATATGTTAAGCTTCAAATAAGAAAATGTCTAGAAAATCAATAATGGGTAATTGTTTATATTGTATATTTATTTCCCCAAAAAATTTCATATTTGTAACTCTTTGAAAAAGACAAAACACCTGCTCTTCTGTAAACCAACCTCCAACTGTAAATAAATGTTTTACCACAGACAAACAAATTGCTTTGCCCAACTTTATAAATGGTATCACAAACTTGCCATGTTTTCGTATAAATCAAATCCAGCATATCTGCTAAAAGTGCACCAAACAAAACTTTACGGGCAAAACACTTTTGCTTTTGCCTTCGTTTTATTTATTTTGCGGCTGCCTCAAGACATTGCATGCCACGCCCCCATCGGCGGCTGCAACCTTGGATATTTATGTGCAACACTTGTTACACATACGACATGTTGGACGTGTGCAGCGGCCAAGACAAATCGATTGCTGTTGCCGCTGCAGCAGCCACTTCTTTTGTGGCACAAACAATGGCAAGGGCATAATTTATTGGGCACTTTGTTGCACTTGCCACCGACAAGCGATTCTCGGACTTAACCTCGAACAAGGGGTCAGACAAGTCCTATTTTCGATCATTTCATTGAGATTTATAGTGGCATTGGATTCTTAAAACCAGGAACAAATTGCTCTAATTAGTTTTCTTTGAGCAATTAAACGCAACTTTTATTAATTCAAATAAAATGGAGATACAAAGTTTCTTTGACAGCTTAGCTTGTAGAAATTCATTTGCATTCAAAGTCAAAGAGTTGACTTTCTGTATTTGAAGAGGAACATCTAAATGGATTTTATTAAATGGTTTCCTTTTTGCTATGACTGCAATAAACTTAAATATCAGAAACAGAGTTTAATTTTCTTTTTATCACAAGGATTCTCTATGAATTACCACCAAATTTGCTTTATCAATATCCCTTCTATTTAGTTAGTCCTGGCCACCAGGACAAACGCACTTTTGGCATGCAAACATTATTTCCCGCCATCGGATTATTAATGGACTATGCGCATTTTGTGCACTTCATAATTTATTTCCCGCCATTAATGAAATTTTAATTGTTCCAGCCAACGCAAACAAAATGTCGTAAATTTTATTGACACTATATGCGAAAAATGAAATTATAATGAAGTTTTCGCCCGTAATTACCGAAACATTTATTAAGTTTATGGACTTTGCCATGGCTTTGCTGGCAGCTTAAAATCCTTTGACACCGAGTTTAATTGGACCGTTTGAAAATGTCGGAAATTTAAGCAGAGCAAACACAAGCGGAAACAAAGGAAAACCAAAGAAAGTAAGACAATAAAATTGAAATTGTTTTACAATTGCATTCTAGTTGCCTGGCTTGTTGTTTCATTTGCCTCGGTTTTCTATTCCTTCAATGCCATTTATCCCCAGTGAAATGTAAACTATTTTTCCGAGAACAGATATAATGGTTACTTTTAGCTGGGTTTTCTCAGCTGGAGCTTTTGTAATCAGTACCGAAAAGGCAAAAAAAAAAGAAAATAAATTTAGAATAATTAATTAATTGTGTACAAAGTTACTCCCGGCAGTGCTAGGTTATAGGATAAATTCTAATCAATATTTTTGAAAGCCATTATTGACTTTCTCCATTATTGACTTTTGCCCCGCATTCCGGAAGTGAACTATCCTTTGACTCGCTTCCGGCGCCGTTGGACTACCGCAGACAAACAACGCGTTTCCGGTTATGAATGGCAATGGCCATTCTGCTTTTCAGTTCGATTGTCTGCGGCTGTTCGATTGAAATTGCATCCTGTTTGTTGTGCGCCAAAAACTGACATAATTTGAGCTCAGAATATGCAACAGATTTTTATTCACTGAATTTTATCCACAAGTATGGCAGGCTTCATTTTCAGCTGGACAGCAAAATCATTTCACCGGCTTCTAATTCTATTTTCCCCCATCGCTATGCGGGTTTATTTTTAGCTCTTTACCGGC